AGAGTCTGTTCTATCTTATTATCATCACTTCCTTTCCACTTTGAAGTTCTGTAACTGCATCATGTAGTTTCTCTGTTTGCTTGGTAATTGTCATCATTTGCAAATTCACATCTCTGGTCACTTATTTTCAATGTTGTAGGTTTATTTTTCATACTTCTATGTCCGGGTTGATTACTGGGTGATGTTGTTGACTGCCTTAATCTCTAGTTATTGTCTGCTATCATTGATTCTCTGTCAGAATAACTCCCTTTAACATTTCTTGTATGGTTGGTCTAGTTTTTGAAATTCTTTCAATTTCTGTTTATCTGAGAATGTGCTAATTTCACCATCATATTTGAGGGACAATTTTGCTGGGTATACAATTCTTAGTTGGCAATTTTTTCTTTCAATGTTTTATATATGTTCTCCCATTGCCTTCTTGCCTGTGTGGTTTCTGCAGAGAAATTTACTGCTTAGTCTTATTGGTCTTATTTGCTGTCCTTTGTAGGTAACTTTTCATTTTTCCTGAGCTGCTTGCAGGATTCTTCCTTTGTATTTTGTTTTGGAAAGTTTGATTATGATATTGCTTGAACAATTTCTCTCAGAAAGATCAGCACAAGGCCGGTCCCCATGAGGCGGAGGTTAAAGATGTCCCAAATGTCCAAACTACCATACCACTCCATCATTTCAGACATTAACTCCTCCTCCCAGTAATTTCCCCAGTCTTAGGGTTCTGTATTTCACTGTAATGCCTCACAGAACTCACAGACACCCAAGGGTTCATCTCATGTAGTGGTGGTGGAGGCTGGCAGGCTGGCAAGTCCCAGGTCCCTGAGTAGGTCTGAAGGATCCTCCCAATTCTCAGGGTTTGATGAACCTCGATCAGCAGCTCCGATGATGGCTGCTGTCCCAAATCCAGGGGTGAGATGAGGATGAGGCAAGACACAAAACTGGAGCAAGAGGAGGGTGAATCTTTCCAGGAAATTCATAGGTATACCCTCAAGGAAGCTAAGGGTGGTGATTTGAATTATACCATCCAGCAAGGCAGGACTCAAGATACATTCCACCTGTGTTGCCCCAACAGAAATAACTAGATGATGGCTTTAACAATCAGCAGGTCAAGGCAAATCCCATCACAGATCCATTGCCAGTCATTAGGAGCTCTGGTAGCATAGTGCCTAAGGCACTTGACTGCTAACCAGAAGGCTGGAGGTTCAAACCCACCAGCCACTCCTCAGAAGGAAGGTTGGGCAATCCTACTTCTGTAGTGATACTGCCTTGGAAACCCAAGGAGGGGTCGCTATGAGTCGGGGCCGACTCCACGGCGAATAACAACAACAACAACAACATAGGGAATGACTACTACCAGCTGCCCAGCCAAGTTGATACCTGACCTTAACTACCACACCACTCCAAACAGGCATGGATAATGGGATTTACAATACATCACAGAATGGAGGACAATGGCTAGAAAGGCCACATCAAGCAATTCACTGCAGATATGCTTTGGTGATTTTCCTGTGTAGTCTATCCTATTTGGGATTCTTTGCTTCTTGAATGCATATCTTCTCATCTTTCATGATATTGAGGAAACTTTCTCCAACAAATCTTCAAATTTTTCATGGTACTTTTTATTTTTAGTTTTTTTGTCTCTTCTTGTTCTGGAACTCTAATCTCATGTAAGCTATTCCTCTTGGAGGCGTCCCACATAATTTTTAGGCTTTCTTCATTTTTTTTTTCCATTCATTTTTCTGAATGTTTCTCTAAAAGATTAATATTAAGAGATTTGTGTTCAATCTCACTAATTCTGTCTTCCATTGAATCAATTATACTCCTTTGTCCTTCCAATGTGTTATCTATTTCTGACAATTTAGCATTAATCTTCTGGATTCTATGGGCTGTTTTTGTTGAGTTTCTAATTTTCCATTTATTTTATCAATTTGTTCTTGTATAGTTTCCTTGAATTCTAGAGTTTTGTCTGTTTTCTTTAATTTTGTCTGTGGTTTCTTTGAACTCTTTCTTAAACTGATAAAAGGACCTAATATAAAACTTCTGAATTCCTTATCAGATAGTTCCAATAGCATTTCTTCCTCTAAAAGATGTTCTGGCCCTGTATTTTGGTCACTTCTTTCAGTCATCCTGTCCTGTTTGTATATGTGTGTGTATAATTTGAAGTTGTCCGCTATTTCTGAAACATTGTGGTATTTTGTTTTCATTTGTCAATTTGCTTGCTTCATCCTGATTTTTTATTGTGTTTTGCTTCAATATATCCAGGCAATCCAGTGGGCATGCTCCTCTGGTCACTAGTTTGGCAACACTGAGGTGCTCCCCACTTGTCTCCAAGTGGATTTGGTAGCAGGTAGCAGTGTGGACATGAATCTCTGATCTCTGGTCATGCAGAGCAGCTGAAAGCAAGGTGGGTGGATGTTGGCTGCCATCTGTCATTGATGGCAGCAGTGGTGCTGGAGCAGGTGGTGGCATTCATCCAATGGGTGGGGCAGCTGTGTTTGGTGGCTAGCATTTTTGGTGGTTCTGTACTGCATTTTTGTTGTCTTTTTTTCTTTGGTTCCTCTTACTCCCTGCTTTTTAACTTTTCTTTTTTCCTCTTCCCTTGTCCTTTATTAAAAATTTCTTCGATCCTGCAAGTTGATACTCCACCCCCCACTGCCTCCATGATTAGCAGTGCATGCCCACACCTCTTCCTAATCGGCAGTGTGCACGCCTACAGACCAAGTTCCCTTTGCAGCCATGTTGGATGGCTAGCACTTTTACCAGTAGTGCTGCTTTCTTTTTTTCTTCCTTCCTTCTTCTTAGTTCCTCTTTATCCCCCTTTTTATTCTTTTCTCTTTTTTTCTTCTTTTCCTCTTAACTGCCCCCCTTTTTTAAAAAGAAAATTTTGGATCCCATGGACTTAATGACCTGCCCCTGACACCTCCATTATTACCAGCACCCGCCCATGCCCCTACCTGGTTGCTGGTGGGCACTTGCATGGATTGAGTGCTGCATTCCTGTTGCAGCAATATTTGGCAACTAGCAATTTTGCCAGTACAGTGATGCTTTTTTGTCCCACTCTTTTTTTCCTTTTTCTTAATTCTTCCCTCTTCTGTCCCCTTCCATGTTTTACTCTTTTTTCCTTATCTTTTTTTCTTCCTCCACTCCCCCCCCCTTCTTTTTATGATCCCACAGATACCCACTCTCACTGCCTTCATAGTCAGCAGCACCCACACCCACCACTTTGTGGACAATGGTGCATACTCCTGGCAGAGTGAGCTCTCTGTTCCCACTGCAGCTATGTTTGGCTAATGCTTATGCCAGTACTGTGTCACTTTTTTCCTTCTTTTTTTCTTTTTCTATTTTCCTTTCTTCTTAGGTCTGCCCAGTTCTTCCTTCTTATTATTTCCTTTTTTTTTACGCTTACTCTTCTCCCCTACCCCCCATTTTTTCATATTGCAGAACAGGTTCCCTGTCCCTCACCATCTCCTCATTCAGTAGCACCCACCTCAACCCTTTGTGTTCAATGGTGCACACCTTGTAAAGCAAGCACTACAATTCTGCCATGGCTGTGTTTGGCAGTTAGCACTTGTTCTGACTCTGTGCCACTTTTGTTATCATGGAGACAGCAGGGGTCAGAACATCAAATCCAAATGATAAAAAAAAATTAAAAAGAAAAAGGATGAGGGAAAAGGAAGAAAAGAAAAAAGGTGGGAGAGGGAAGAATTAGAGGAAAGATAAAGGAAAAAGAAAGGGAAAAAAGCAGCATAGCACTGGAAGTAGAGGGGGCACCTTGGACATTGATAGGTAGGGGTGAAAGGTTCATGCCTCTGGTCACTAGGCAGTTGTGCAATGTAAGGGGGGAGATCACACCTCTTTGATTGCTGATCACCAGTGTGAGTGCTGGTACAGTCCTGGGTGAGAGGAGCTGGTTATCTAGTTCTTGCTCTGATGGGAACACTACTTGCAATAATTCAAAATGGCCATGCTGTGTCAGTTGCTGTTCAATATTCTGTAAGTCTCCTTTTTTGCTATTTTTGTTCAGTCTCTTCTTTTCATTGGTAATTGATCTACTTCTTTATCCTTTCCTTTGAAGCTCTGTGTTCTAGGATTCATCCAAATCCATTTCACTTAGTTTCTCAAGTCCTTGTTGTAAAGAGTCTGGATGTGTATCTACCTAGTCCACCATCTTGTATCCTCCCTTAGAGGTTTCTTTAATCACAAGATAAAAGAAGAGGGATAGAGTGGAAGCTAGAGAGATGAGAAGAGAATTTATAGGACAAGTAAGATTTGAGCACCCATTTTAAATGAGGGGAAGAATCCAGCAGAGAGGGGCAGATTAGTGATGATGGAGCTAGATGGAATGATGAGTGCAACAAGCTCCCAGTGGAGGCAGCAGTGAAGGGAAGGAGGGTGTCTATGGAGGGCTGGCTGAGAGCAGGATCAGCCTCATCCTCTGAGGAAGAAGTCAACTGTTAAGTGAGATCAGATGTCCCTGATGAAGAGAGTAGGAGTGAAGTATTTCTGTTGATTTGTGGAAGCTGAATATGGAGTTTGAGGAGAATGATAAGATTTGGAATAGTCACAAAGAAACTGGAAAAATTAATTAATTGCTAAAACAATCAATAAAAATGGTCTTCTGCCTCTCTTCTCTTTCCATCTCTCCCCTCAGAGGTCCCTTCTTGGAATGTATAGCAACAGTTGATCTAAGCTCCTCCTAGCTCCCCCACCCCCGACACACACACACACACACACACACACACACAACCAGAAACTCCCTTTTGACTTTACAGTGGATCGAGCCTGCCTGGTGTACACAGGCCCAGTGAATTCTTCCTTCTTCTCACTCAGCCTCTTTACTCTACTTCTTTACCCAGCAACAGATATGTTGATTCAGAGAATTTCTCTGATTGGTTAAATATAGCCAGGGTCTCCTCCTATTCTAGAATATGCTTTCTTCCTCCTTACCTCTACCTGTTCCTTTACCCCCACACAGACCAAGAATTATTTGGTTATAGTACCAGAGGGCAATGGTCCTCAGTGGTGTGCTAGCTCTGGGACTCCACATCTCGATGACCCTCCTGAGCCCCCAGGAAACAGGAGCCATCCAAGGTGAGTGCTGAGGGTGATTGGGTGAGGGATTTGGGTCACATGACCAAGATGGTATAGAGGATGAATTGTTCCTCTTTCTTTCTCTTTGGCTTATGGAGAACTTCTGTCACCAAGTGATCTCCAAATCCCTATCACCTCTATCATGTCCATTCTGGACCTAATATATAGGTGCAGTGCAGTCTGGCCATGTCAGCATCTCCTTCAGGCTTTGTTCAAGTTCAGCTTTCTCTTTTCTGAAACCCAAACCTTCATTCTACTGATGCCCAGGGCCCCGATTTCTCTACTACTTCCGGCTTGAAGCATGCCCTTTCAAGTCCAGATCTATTGCAGTGTCTAGCATTATGTCAATGTTTAACTGATTGTGTGTCTTTTTACTCTAGCTATGGATTCCTTATGCTCAAGAGTCCACAGCTTGTTCATAGCTTATAAAGGTGATAGATATATTTTCTTTTCTCTCCTTGCCCCTGAACTCTCCCAATATAGCTGACCACATGGGCTCCTACGGACCAGCCTTCTACCAGTCTTATGGTGCCTCGGGTCAGTTCACCCATGAATTTGATGGGGAACAACTCTTCTCTGTAGACTTGAAGACAAAGGAGGCTGTGTGGCGTCTGCCTGAGTTTGGCAATTTTGCCCACTTTGACCCACAGGGTGGGCTGGCCAGCATCACTGTGATCAAAGCCCATCTGGACATCTTGATGGAACGCTCCAACCGCACCAGAGCAACCAATGGTACCTGGTCCCTCCTCTGCCCCTCAGTCAGACAGGAGCGCAGAGGAGCTGTGTTCCACCTCATAGCCTCTATCTGCTCTCTGACACCTCTATCTCAGAATCCATGACTGTTATGCTTAGCTCATTTCTCTCCCAGCAGTCTCTATATCTTCCCAGATCCCTTCTGCACCCTCTTCCTTCCTGAGGAATGACTACACCCACCAGGACTGCCCCCAAAGGCTTGTCAGATAGAGAAGCTCTAGAGTCCCCAGTGAAGTTTCACTCTCTTCTCCCTTGATTTCCCATCCCTCCTGTCCCAACAGTACCACCCTGTCCCCAGAGCACCCTCTGCCACAGATGGCTAAGTAGGAGGAAATGTCCCTCAATCCCAGCCTTTGAGATTCAAAGACTCATTCTTCCTAGTGCCTCCAAAGGTGACTGTGCTCCCCAAGTATCGAGTGGAGCTAGGCCAGCCCAACATCCTCATCTGCATCGTGGACAACATCTTCCCCCCTGTGATCAACATCACCTGGCTGCGCAATGGTTGGACAATCACTGAGGGTGTGGCCCAAACCAGTTTCTATTCCAGGCCTGACCATTTGTTCCTCAAGTTCCACTACTTACCCTTCGTGCCCACAGCAGATGACGTCTATGACTGCAAGGTGGAACACTGGGGCCTGGATGAGCCACTCCTTAAGCACTGGGGTATGGTGACCCCTCCCCATCCTGCCCTCCTCAAGACCCCTGTTTTCTTTTCTCCAGAATCTCTTCACCATATTTTGACACTTTCTCTCTTCCTCAGAGCCCTACATGCCTACTCCACTACCAGACACCACAGAGACTCTAGTCTGTGCCCTGGGCCTGGCAGTGGGCCTGATGGGCTTCCTCACAGGCACCATCCTTATCATCAGTGGCAAATGCTGGTCCAGAGTTCCCAGGTGCACAGAGCTCTAGGAGTTTGGGCAGAGGAAAGTGGAGGACTCTGAACAGTACGGGGTTGGAGAATCAGAGATTCTGTGAGGAGGACAGAGAGCAGGGCAGGGTGAAATAGACAAGTACTGGTTGCCATCAAGTCTTATCTGATTCATGGCAACCCAAAGTGTTACAGAGAGCAACTGCTCCATAGGGTTTCCTTGACTACAATCTTTAGGGAAGCAGATCACTAGTATTTGCTTCTGTGGCATTGCTGGGAGGTTTGAACTGTCAACCTTTAAGTTATAACCTGAGAGCAAACCATTTGCATAAGCCAGAGACCTTTTAGACAAGTAGTGGTCAAGGAATAGAAGAGCAGAGGACAGGCAATAGAAGAGGGAGTAAGATTTTGGGAGAAATGGGGTACTCAGAGATAGGAGCCCAGAGTTGTGAGCTTGAATAACATTGGTCATATGGTCTTTACTACTTTAGGTAACGACCCTTCTAAGAGCAGCAGATTGTGGGATACACCCTACGGATTCCTCGCTGGCTTCTGACAGCCTTTGCAAGCTCAGTGCCACAGTTTATAAGTATATCCTCACTGTACTGACTTCTAATGGAAACCTTTATTCTATATGTCCCCTCCTTTTTGGCCCCAGTGCTGCCAGCAAGACTTTGTGGGGTCACCAAGCACCTCCACTTCCCACCCTCAATACATATATATATACATGCACACTTCCTTGCTCTGCTCAAAGCTCTGGCTAGCAGTAGTAAATTCTTTAATGGTGTTTATACTGTATCTTTCTTATTGAATTTTGTCTAATTCTCTCAGGGTGTGAAGGATACTGGTACCTGGGAGAGGGGATTCTGGGTGATGACCATTGTGGGTGACCAGCTGGTACTCAGGATTTGCAGTCACCCTAAGACCAGTCAGCTGTGTTTGGGCCTCTTTACTTATCAGCTCAGGCCCTTCGTGTGTTACTTGTGACTGGACTGTTTCACACAGACTTCATGAAATTTGCCTCTTGATTTCTAATTTGACCTAAAAGGGATGCAGAGGGAACTGTTCACTGTAATGCTCCCAACCAGTGACAGCTCTGAAGGGCCCTGGGAGAGGAAAGTTTCATGGGGATCCCACTCCTCTTCACATTTATCCTTTGTAAAGAGGTATTGGTGGCCAGCTTTGATCTATGATGCCATCTCCTTCTTTAAAGTTCCATGAATGGCAAAGGTGGATCTAAGGCTTAGATAAGATGGCTGCTTCTCTCAATCTGGGGACAATCACATTAGGTAGGAAAGAAGCTGAGTAGATCTGCAGGGTGTCTGGTAAGAGGGAGCTTTAAAAGAGATCCACTTCAACTCTCTCTAAATATGTAGCCTGAAAGAGTTTAATTTACTGTGAGCAAATTAAAAACATACAGAGATACACAGAGATAAATAACCATACAATGTAGTTTTTGCAAAGCACCAAATGAATGGTACATATTGGTGGCTTTCCACATCAGAATCATGTGGGAGCCTTTAAAAGTATAGATATTACCCAGACCTACTGAATTAGAATCTTGATGGAGGGGTAGGTAGTAGTAATATGGAATCTGTAATTTTTAACAAGCTCTTTAGATAATTCTGATGCAGCCAACTGAATCTAGACTGTGACTGGTGACTGGGACCCACTGACATAGTTTGGTGCTATTAGAGGTCATGGAGAGGAGGGTCCCTGAGGTCTGAGGTGGGACAGGAAGGCTTCCTGAAGACCTTGGATTTTCTAGGCCATAAAAATTGGACAATATACAAGGGTGAGTTCAAATACCTGGAAAAGAAAAAAAAAAAATACTGTGGGGGCTCCATAGATTCCTCAAGAGAGCATAAATTGGGAGAAGTCATTGACCAGAAGAAGACTGTGATGGAAGTGAGGAGGATTATTCTTAACTCATGCGTTTGGCTATTATTGACAGAAACCCACTTAAAATGATCACAGGCAAAATATTTGTGATAAAGTGTAGTGCCTAATAGAATCCAAGAGTGGGTATTAGCCAGGCCCCACAGGGAACAGAATCTGGAACCGAAAAACCAACAACAGGAACTGGAACTGAAAAACCAACAGGAACTGGAGTACTTGCTCTCTCTTTGGGACATATGGTCCTTTTTTAGATCCTTCTGCACATTGGTCAGATTCCTTTCTCTCTATGAACACTTTTTCAGTTAAGATCCAGGCTTCACCTTGTGAGTTTATATCACCTCAGCTCTAGCCACCCACAGAAACTGAGACAAGTGCCTCATTGTCACAATTTTAAATTCTTGAGATAAAGAAATATGACTGGCCAAACTTGGGACAGGTGTCCATTCAAGTCCAATGTACTGTGACCAGGAGGACAAGATCCAACAACACAAACGTGGCTGTTCCCGTCATGCCCTGATTTCTACTGATCTTTTGCTTAAAGTCAATTTTCTACAACATTGGAAACATGTTCCTTTGATCTCTGTTGTTAAGGTTTAATAAAGTTATTAAAAATGTCTTCTTTTGACAAGAAATGTGCTTTTTCCATTATGAATATATTATCTAAAAGTCACTAAAACTTCCAGGAACAATTCTTAATCTTTTACATTTATCTATTTGTCCTTCTCATATTGTTTTTTCTAGCCTTAAGGTTGTTGTTGTTGTTATGTGCCATCAAGTCGGACCCCACTCATAGCAACCCCTCCTTGGGTTTCCGAGGCAGTATCACTACGGAAATAGATTCCCCCATCTTCCTTCCCAGGAGTGGCTGGTGGGTTTGAACCACCAGCCTTCTGGTCAGCAGTCAAGTGCTTTAGGCACCAGAGCTCACAGCCTTAAGGTAGTCTATTTAAAAACAAACAAATAAAAACCTCCTGCATTCTTGGTCTGGTCCCCTTCAGTCTCTTTCAGATCAAAGGTTCAATGGTTATCTCTTTTCTCATATTTTCAAATTTTCTTTCTTTGCAGAGTGTCCCAAATAGATGTTAAACATGTCATCTCTTTCTTATTAACAAGACATCAAATCCCATCTCTAATCTATCACCCAATCCTCCCCAAGTGCCTTCCAGCCATATGCTCTGAAACAGTGTTGCTCCACATTAGATATCTCTAAGTCCCTACTTCCCATCTACTCTCTGTTTTATCATTTTAATTTTTAACAAAGTTATACATAGAATTTAAAGAGTCAAATAGTCCTACAGGTTTTGTTAGAATAATTCAGTCTTCTGATACCCTTTCCCACAGTGACCTCATCCTCAGAGGCAATAGTTTTAATGGTCTTAACTGACTCAGTAAGTATTACCCTCTCACCTCTGAACAAGTTTATGCTGCTACATCTTGATTTTTCAACTTTAGGCTTCACCCTTACTTCCCAATAGGAGGAGGAGGATTTAGTTTGCTTTTTTTTTTTTCCATTCCCATGCTATATATATGTCCCTTCCTATATCCCCTGTTATGGATTGAATTGTGTCTCCCAAAAAAAGATATGTTGAAGTCCTAACCCCTGGTACCTAAAAAACATACCCTTATTTGGAAATAGTGTCTTTGGAGATCTTATCAGTTATGTTAACAGGAGGTCTTACTGGAATAGAGTGGGGCCCAATCCACTGTGACTGATGTCTTTATAAAAGAAAAGACACAGATAAAGGCGGAAGATAGGTATGTGATAGGGAGTTATGCAACAGATGCAGGCTGAGCAACGCCTGGGGCTGGCAGAAGCTGGGAGAGACAAGAAAGCCTCCCATTTTGTGGTATTTTTGTTTTTGTTATGACACTCCTAGGAAACTACACACACACACACACACACACACACAAGTTTTGCTTCTCTAGAGAACCTAGCCTAGGACAATATCCTTCCTATAATACAGGTATATTGCAATTTTGGCTAGATCAATGTTCAATGTTTGTATTAGTACAACCACATAAAAGTTATTCACAACTAAACCATAGAATAAACCATACTTGCTCTTCCTTTTCCACACAACTTTTTGTTTTCTCTGGAGGTAATGTTTGCCTTTTGCTTGGTTTTATTTGTACCTGTTATTAATGAAATACAAATTTCCTCTTATTACAATCAGATACATCAGGTAGACTATTGATTTTATTATCCTAGATAGAATCTGTTGTCTGCTCCATTCTTAACTAGTTACTAGATGCCCTCAATGACATGGCTTTCATCCTGGGATAACCTTTCATCACATTTGTTAGGATTTAGCTGTCCTCTGTGTCGAATCTTCTGTTTTTGTATTCAGTAATCATTCTTTTGTAGTCTCTTGTCTTATTTTAATGAAGCAAATTCTCTTTTAGTTTCCTGAGTAATAGTGCATGTGCTATAATTTTTTTTTAGTGCTTTTCATGTTAGAAAATGTATTTATAATACCCTCATGCTTGAATGATAGCTTGCTTGGGTATAAAATTCTAAGTTGAAAGTAATTTTCCATCAGAATGTTTAAGGTATTTCCATTGTTTTTGTTGAGAAGCCAAAAGACATTCACAGGTCTGATACTTTGTATGTGATCTATTTCTGTTTCTTCTCTCTGAAATTTAGTAGGATATTTTCTTTTTCTCTTCTTCCTGATTTAAGTTCCTAATCACTCTCCATAACATACAGGATGAAGGTCCTCTTCAAACTGCCTCTAATCTACCATTTCAACCTTATTCCTAATAGCTCTTTGGAGAGTAGCTAATGCTTAGGTCACAAAAAACTCTCAATATATGTTTACCCCTACCTGCCTTTGCACAAATTATTTTGTTCCAGACCTGCCTTCTCCTGCCAACCAATCAAAATTCTACTTATTCTTCCCTGGGCACAGATTAAATGTCATTTCTTTTGTGAGGCTGTCCCAATCCTAACCCCCAATATTTTATCCATTCCCTCACCGTAGTATATACCACACTCTGCCATGTCTGAGTTAACTATGTCTGTGTCTGCCCTTGACACTAATTGCTTCTCTAGATCAAGGGGAACTGCCAAAGAGGCAAGGAGGCTGCATCTTCTGACCTCCTCTGACCCCATAAGATTAAGACAGAATCACCATCAGTAGCC